TAAAGAACCATTCATGAACTCTTCAGATATGAGATGTGAGTTCAAATCTCATAAGAAGCTTCCTTATTCCTTCTTCCAAATACTTTTTCATTTTTACATTTTTCTCGTTTCATTTAAAATGATCTTTCATTTGATCAATGTTTTATGAAATTAGTTTGTTTTTAACATTGTTTTTTAAATATTTGCTTATCTTTCAATAATTTATTCTTTTTGCATGATTTTTTTTATTGACAAAAATTTGCTTAAGCTAGTTGAGGACATTGCCCCCCCCCCCTACACACACACATACACTCCAGTTAATATTTAATGTTACAGCATTATGGAGTTAGACAAGGTACAACACTGGTAGTAGCCTACAGTATCTGGGTAAACATAAATAAGCCTTCCAGATACTTTACTTCACATATAAGAGAGGTAGATTTTTTTTTTTTAATTTTGGAAGGGTAAAAATGGGACAGACTTACATGCCATTTAAATTAAATTTTTATAAAACATTTTTGTTTTTCAAATTATTTTTATCTTAGAAATAGTAGGAATTATTTCTAAAGTGAATGTATTTATATATTTTGTGTATTTGGGCAATAATACATGTTTCTTTGAACAAGACTGTCAAGGTATGTTTGGTTATTTTTTTTTATTTTGATTTTCTTCTACAAGTATTTCCTTTTATGGACTTAATGACAAAATTGTCTACATGTTTGTTGGTTCTGAATGCTTTCAGCTAAACTGTTAGCTGTGTATTTGATCTACAACAGCACTTACACATCCATTATTGTGGTAGCATAACAAAAAATAATCCTTAAAAATGGCTTTCAGTTGAGTTGAAAGCACTAGGAATCAACCATTTGGGGGAATCTTTACATTAAATCCACAAATGAAAACATTTGAAGGTATACAAGAAAAAAATTAAAAAAAAAATATGCCTTGTCAAGTTTTATTTAATGAAGTGTGTTTATATAATATATATATATATATATATATATATACACACACACACATTGTTAAAGATGACTGACACGATACTGAGATTAAACTTTTTAATTTTTCTTGCGTTTGTTCAAGTGTTTTCTTTTCTGGACACAGTGTGTAAAAACTGTCTAAATGTTCTACATTTCTGAGCGCTTTTGGCTATACTTTTTTTCCAGAAAAGAAAACACTTGTGTGGTCACAAGAGAAATTAATTAAAAAGCTTAATCACAGTACCTTGTCAGTCGTCTTTGACAAAACATGTATAAAAAAGAGATTGCTGCCTAAATACATGCTGATTTTGTTCTCTTATGAACTTTACTGTTTATTTTATTTCTATCAGTATGTGTGAAAATGTATAAAATAGGCTATAGAAGAAAAGAAATATCAAAAAATTGCTGAAATATTCTGTTAAGAGAGACTTCTTTTGAACAATCATTGTGTCCAGTCCCATTTGTATGTACAACTCTTACACTTTCTGAGCAAACAGTATAATAATAGATTTGTCTGTTCCTACCTATCTATCTATCTATCTACCTACCTACCTGTAGTATGCATAATGCTTTGATTACCTGTTAAAAATAACATGATTATTTATATATGGATAAATTATGTAAATATTTCTATTAGTATAAAAGTATTGCAATAATTTTTTGAGGACCATATTCTTTGTAAAGAAGTTGCTTCCATAATCTTCCATGTGTACGTTTAAATTATTTTGCTTCTTTGTTGTCCAGTTGTACATGACTGAATTCAGGCTGCAAATAAATAAACATCAAAATATCCTATGTACTTTGTTTCTCAAAAAAAAAAAATCTAAAATCTATGAAATTAATCTATGAAATATCCTAAATGAATGTTTTTAACCATCTACTCAAATTAGTGATTGATTATAAACTTTAAAATAATTAAATTGATTACTGCCTTGCTTAAAATGAAATAAAAATTCAAAGAAAAGGTTAAATTTACTTTTTGCTGTTTTAAATTAATACAGTGCATAAATGTTATTTGCAGAAAGCAAACAAAATGCAATTCCAAACCTCTTGGTCTAAATTAATTTCATCTAATATTAAAATTTTAGAACAATGGCCAAATGGATATATCATTTTCCTGTTTATCTACAAATAGAATGTTTAAATAATAGAATTTAATTTTTTTTCTGTATTTTGATGACAGTCAAAAAAGTGATATCTTTTATGTAAAAGTATAAAAATCAAAGTAATGTTTTTGAGAAATGTCAATTTGCATGTTTTCTAACTAACTTAAAATAATAACAAAATACAAATTAAGAATCTGGACTATTTTGCAAAAAACATCAACCCTCAATTTATTATGTGACTGATTTTCAGTCATTTGAAATAATTTCATCTGATTTATTGTTAAATCATCTAATTTGTTTTCATGATTGGAAAAATATGTAACAAAATTTGTGTCAGCATGTTATAAAAAGAAAATAAAGGTGAAGATGTTAAAAAAATAATTCCTCAATTAATCTCATTCAAAATTTGGCAGTAAGTGACATGTTGTATAAAAGATTTGACACTGGCTTTCCTCTTAGAAGCATCTAAGGAAGAAAAAAAAAACTTCTACCATAGTTTACAATGATCGATCTTACATCTGTAATACTAGCACATTTGCCACCATGTTGTTGTTGTTTTTTTGGGGGGAGGTTATGCATTTTATGTCGGCAAACACTTTGTTCTGGTTTGTGTTGGGACATGATGCTTTAACTAAAAGTTCAAGGTATTTCTCCAAAATGAGCAGTTTGTTCATGTCACTTATCTTTTCCTGTGTTTAAACAAAAACAAAAGAAATAATGAACTACATTTTCTATCAAGTTTTGCTTCTTTTTTTTTTTTTCTTTCAAAAAGTCATGTCATGCCTTACAATTTGTTAAGTTTGAATGACACCTTGTATTTTTTTCTTATCTGTCTATATCTGAGATGAGGTATTATGATTACTTACATTATTTACATTAATTCAAAAGTCTTCATTGCCATATTCGCAACATTTTGGCCATTGTAGACCTTCTTCAGGTGATTGGAATTTCGAACCAAACACTGAATTTTATTCACTGGGGTAGATTGTTCTTGTTCAACATGCCATACCTCAAGGACACAGTGGATAAAGGTGTTGATTAGATCCAGTGACTAGACCCAAAGAGTTGTGAGTTCAATACCAGGCTACAGCAGTGGTGAACCAAAACCTTAGAGTTGAGTTAAAAGGAAATAACAGACATTTGGAAGAGGCATGACACATGGAACTAGAACAATCTACCCCGGTTGATGAAATAAATGGTTTGGTTTGAAATTCCAATCACCTGAAGAAGGCCGGAGCATACAACAGCTGAAACGAGAATATGGCAATGATGATGAGGATAACAGTTCGAATAATGTAAGTAATCATATTTTTCTTACTCCTTCTAAACCCTCAACTGTACATTTTCCTTCTATAATCCTGGCACATTGAGTAATATTTAGATTTTATACTATCAGCCATATTCATGATGCATCTGCAGGCTAATAACATCTTTATTTTACAAGGACATTTTTTGGAATTTACTTGCATTTTTCTTTTTTTAGGTTCTGTTACTGTTCATCTTCACTACCTAGGTATCAAAATCCACCTTCTATACATAATACTAGTGCAGGTTTTATGGTTTTCTTAACTCAAGTCCTGCCAATGAATTAATTTTTATTCTTTTCCGTTATTGAAATTCGTTTAACTTTGAGAAATATAGTTTTAATCAAAATGTTGGCAAATATAATTAACAAGGGATAAAAACTGTTTTTAAATGAATGACACCATTCAGACTGTTTAACATTATCAAGAAATGTGATATCAGCTTTCTATCCGTAATAGCAGTATAATGAACACAATAACTAAAATTTTTATTATAAAAAGGTGTTATTTTAATCCCTTTTCATATAGAATTTCATGGTTCATTTAAAGATTTATCTGTTAGATTCAAACAATTTCTCATGAAAACAGAAGAAAGCATGTCATTTCTATTTGTCTTTTTTTTTCTTTTTTTTTTTTTGCTAGTTAATATTCTACAATCTTATTCAAAATAATAATTTAAAAAAAAAAAATCATATACCAAACTGCATTCTTAGCATTGGGTGTAGACTGTGATGAAAGCACTCATTTCTCAAAAATTAGAAGCTTGTCTAATCTCTTAAAAGAGGATCATCTTGACCCTATATATCAAACTGCCTTTTGTTACTATTTTTTAACATTTAAACTTATAATATTATTAAATGTTAACTTCTCAGCATTGGTATAATCTTTCTTTTGGTTAGTGACTTACCTGCAAGAATTCCAGTAAATTACATAAGCTGATCTGCATCTTTCTTTCCCATGTTTGTTAGATTTTAATGCAATAACCATATTTATACTTGAAGTCCTAACTCATACACTGTCATATATATATATATATATATACGCACGCACACACACACACATGGGAGAAAGAAATATTTATGTTCACTTTTGCGCATATTACATTTTTTAAATAAAAGCTGAATGTTTTGCTATATTAAATACTGGAATTGTTAATGATTCATCTGAATATGTTTGTCTTGTCCTTTTTGCTGGAATGACAAACTACACTTTGATCTTTGCTGTTCATCACAAAAGAACATATTAATGAGGTCTTTACTTTCTCTATTTTGGTTAAATTTATCACCTTTTAACAGATTTGTTAAATGCAGATCAGATGAAGTTTTCAAACAAAAGTTGCTAATGATTTTAGGACTTATTTTTAATGTTTACATGATTTTGCTGGTGATGTATATTATATGCTTGGAAGTAACAATAATAAATTAGTCTGTGAGACAATCAAGGTAACCATTGCTATATAGGAGGTGTGTATGTCTTTAGTCTTTTATAAATAATAGTCTTGAAACAATTCATTTGATATATTTTTGTGAATTTGTGCTTTCCACATAGATTTTCTTTCTTATAGGAAAGAAAGCTGATTGAATTAATACAATGATTTTATTTTTTGACCTTTTCCTTTTCATTCTTTTCAGCCTGGGGTAACCTCGCCAATGTACTAAATGGTCAAGGAAAAAAAGCCAGTGCTGAGATTGCCTACAGAAATGCACTACAATATCGTAGCAATATGGCAGATGTGCACTACAATCTGTAAGATGGCATTTTCATTATTATGTGTCTATGTATACTATTGTATGCATGTGATGTTTTGGATATATATAATTGTGTGTGTGTGTGTGTGTATATATATATATATATATATATATATATATATACACACACATATATATAAAAAAAAAATCAACTAAAAAAAAAATATAAAACAAAATACATGTGTGTGCATTGTTTTTCATTGGTATGTGTGTTGAAAGACAGCACAACAAAAAAATCCTACCCTGTCTTTACCAATTTGTTCGTACTTTGTTTACCTAAGAGAAAATAAAAACAGCCACCTGCTCAATGATCTTTTTTCTTTTCTTGTATTGCTTGCCAGTGTTGACTAAGTGTTGACCAACCAAAAGTAAAATTCTACCATCAGCAGATGATGCCCTCTCTTAAATTGGTATTTAATTGGGTGGGGAAGGAGGAAGACAAAAATATGGCTGTTAATTAGATTTATAAACTAATTATATTGATTTTTTTTCCCAATCACAATTCCTAAATGTTTTTAGTTGTACATAAAATAGCTCAATTGGTTAAAAATGTAGATTGTTTAACCATACAGATTTTTATTGCTTTAAAGTCAGTACAAGTCTGAAAAGTCAGTCCAAAATGGTTAACTGAGAATTTTATTTATAATTTCAGTTGCTCTTTATGTTCAAACTTCTTTAAGAACGTAGGTGATCATGGTGCTACCACAATTTCCTGTCTGTTCAGGTCTAATAAATTTTTTCTCCTTTACCATTTTTTTTGTCCTTGTTTTGCACTCAATTTTTCACAAGGATTAAATAATATCCAACTCTTCTTGAATACCAAAATTGGGTAACTAGTGAAACTCAAACTCCCTGTAAGATACCATTTTCAACCCTTGCTCTAATGACCAGCACCAATACCGTTTGCAATAAACAGAAATTAATATTCCTTATGGTTGCAGCCTGATTACCACAATATTTTACCTAATGAAAGTAACTATTTTTGTAAGTAAAAGTTTACTTTACTTTGATGTTTTGCATTTATTTCTCGTATTCAGTATTTAATGTTTGCCATAAAGATGTTTGATATTAGTAATCAGATAATGTGATTGATATTAAAAAAAAAATAAAAAAATAGTGACATCTTTTTTATGATATTAAATAAGACAAATTTTGTGGTCTACCAATGAAAAACAGATTGACAGTGATTAGTTGCAAATATGGCAGCCACTTCAACCTATGTAGGCCCAGAAAGATCTTAAAATAAGAAAACAACATTAATGCATTTCAAACATGACTTCTGACAGATTTTATAAGATGAAAAAAAAAATTCAGTTTACCTTTTTGATAAATATAAATTTACTCAGTTGATATTATTTGCAGTTAGAATCTGCTTGATTTGAACTACTGAAACTTATTTTCAGACTTGTTTGATGCTTGCATCTTAATTTCACTTGCTTAGCATGACAGCTGCTTGACTGTTTGGGCCATGGAAACAACTGGCTACGGAAGTTCAAATGTAACCACAAAGCTTTCATTTTTTATTTTCTTAATTTATAATCATCTTAGCAGTAATATTATTTTAGACTTAGAGGATGAGACATTGTCAGTTATGACCTGCACTGCTTATTAATGGCAGTAGATTTATGGTCTAAGAAGTTGCAATAAAAAAAAATTGAAATTAAAGCGGAAAGAAAATAAATAGTTGAAAATAATAATTGACAATTCGTCATTTAAGAAATCCACACAATGTTAGATTTTACTAGAGTAATAAAAAACAACAAAAATTAAAGAAATATTAGTAAAAAAACTAATAATTGATAATGCTGGGTCTTATTACAAGTGTGTGTGTGTGTAATATATATATATATATATATATATATATATATATATATATATATAAAATTTAGTTGTAGCCTCTGTCTGTCATTGTCCTAGGGTTTGGGAAATAGAACCTTTATAACCATATATATTCTGAAACTATTTTACCCAGGGTACTTGGATAAGTCTATTACATTTTGATCAAAGGAGCCCCTGGGGAGCACCCCCCAATCACCTGAAATTTTTTTTATTTTTGATTTAAATTAAATTTAAATTTGAACAAGGGAATAGATCCTATCCAAATATAGGAGAAAACTAGAAGATGGCGGTCACATTGGCAAGATCAAAATGAGACCATATGGACATCAAGTTGAGTAAGAAATCACCAATTAGTGGGTAATGCCTTACAATACATATTTGTTTATTAATTCAAGTGATATCCAAAAAAGATGCAGAGAAATTGCTAAAAATCAAGCGCAAAATATCTCATTCCAAGAAGCCAGGAAACAGGTTGAATCTATTCACTTCAAGCATCATATGCAAATATCACTAAAATATCAAATCAACAAAAAGTCATCCAAGAAAACAATACATTAAAAAGCCAAGATCTTATAACTCTTATTAACGAATTAAAAAGTTTAATAGAATTACTAAAATGTAGTACATCACTCATAAATCAAATGCCCAGAAACAAAAAAAATCCTGTCCCGTCAATCTCAAGCAAAAATGTCTCTACATGTACAAAACAATTAAATCCAAAAATTCCAAACCAAAGTACAAAAATCCAAGAAATAGAAACCTCTAAACACTCTCAAGAGAATCAAAAGGTATATAAAAAAAAAATAACTCAACCTTTAGTGAAGAATCAAGAGAAATGGACATAGAGGAACAAAACTTTAGTCCCTCACAAACAAGGGAATGGTCATCATCTATACAAAGATCATTAAAAGAACCTAATGGAAAAACAAACCCTATACCATCAACCATAAACAAAAATGACTCTACATCTGCAAAACTATTAAACCCCAAAAAATCCAAGAAATAGAAACATCAATTCATTTTCAAGAAAATGAAAAGATACAAAAAAAAAAATAACGAAACAGTTACTGAAGAACCAAGGAAAAAGGACATAGAGGAACAAATCTCTAGTCCATCACAAACAAAGGGAAGATCATCATCTAGACAAAGTTCATTAAAAGAACTGAATGGTAAAACTAAGGGAGCAAAATCAAACAAGTAGAAACAAAAGTTCAAATAACAAAACATAACAAGAAACAAAATGCTAATAGTCTGAAGAATATAGAAATGATAGACACTTCACCCATATAAAAAAAAAATATTTTGGACATGTAAAAATTCATAATTTGTAATACATAATCAAGATGCAAAACCTTACTCAATAGAATTGTAACTTGGGTCAAAACACTATAAAAGTGTAAAAATAGGTTTTAATACCAGAAATACTTTATAAAAAAAAATTATTGCCAGCAATGCATTTTTGAAAAACAAATGTTACCAGCAATATATTTTTGGGAAAAAAAAAAAAAAAAAAGAAAAATATATATTACCAGCTATACATTTTTTGAAAAAAAAAAAAAAAATTACCAGCAATATATTTTCGGAAAAAAAAGAAAAAATATTACCAGCAATACATATTTGAAAGAAAATTATTACCAGAAATAGATTTTTTGAAGGAAAAATATTAGAAATGGATTTAAAAAAAAAAAAAAAAAAATATTACAACAATAAAAATTTTGTTGGTATTAAATAACCCATTGAGGTTGATAAAACCAAACCAAAACTTTTAATGGCAACAGTTCTACAGGTATGCATTCCTCTAACTAGGCTTCTACTTAAGCCCCGTTTGATGTCTGCATGTTTGTCATGAGAGGGTCAACTGGAGGACCAAACAGTATTCTGTAATATTCAGTGATGAGAGCAAAGGTTTCCCTTCAAAATGGTTATTGGTATGCATAATGTAGACCTAGGAAGCAGCACACATGCACACCAAAAGTGTAGAATCAATTCAGTTATAGACTAAAGCTTTTAGTTTTTGTGGAAAGATCATTGAACAACAGTGTACCTCAGTTTGTTGTACATTCCTGCAGTAGGAAGCTGATGTTCTATTACAGCAGAATGATGTCCTCCCACATGATGCCTGTGCTACTCAACATGTTCAACAACTTCCCTGGTTAGCATGATGGTCAGATTTGGTTACCATTGAATAGGTTTGGGACAAGATGGCTTGATACCCGACTCGTTCAGTTAACCCACCTCTAACTTTTGCTACAAGCTGATAAGTGGGTACAAAGCACAGTTGGCTTTACCAGGATGCATAAAAAAAACTGTGTTTTTCCAAATAAATCAGCTTATTCAACTTTCATCGATTGGTTTGCAAAATTAAATGAAACATCAGTCAGTTGCCATCCAAGACTATAGAACCCAGTCTGTCCTGCTATTTATCCATAGCTTGGGGGAGAAGATTCATACCCTTTCCCAAGGGTATTAGCATGTAAGTGAATGTAATGAATGCAACTGGAATTTGAACTTGGCTTTCCAATTCCTCAATCTGAGCAGCTATCCATTATTCCACTGTGCCTCCTTATGAAACATAGCATTTGTAAATCTTGAAAGAAAATGTTAGTGATAACTTCAACAATAATAAATACTGTGAGGATTTTGACACAGGTCAGCATGTTGCAAAAATTTCTAGTTGCATCAAAAGGGCATGCATTTGCCTTCTGCATGATATGTATATGAAAGTACAGGCCTGTGTTAATCCCCAAGGAGGATAGACGGTGTATGAATCTAAGGTCAGAGTGGTGTTGATAGACCCCTTAGATAGGTAGATGTGATCATTTACTGTAATTTGGCAACATTACCTGGCTATTTAATTTTCAGTAATTGTTGTAAGAGAGTTATAATTTTATTTTTCATCAGATAGATCATTTTTGATGGTACTATATGCTATGTTAGTGGTGACAGATTTTAATCTTCAAATTGATGTCTTGTTAAAATATAATAAAATTCAAAGAAAATGTTCAAGTTTTTGCTCTTTCAAATAAGTTTACCAGATCAGTAAGTAAAAAGAAAAAAGGGGTCTAATTCAAATAATTAATATCCCAAATGAAATGCAACAAAAAGCTGAAGATATATGTAAAACGTGGAATATAGTGAGAAAAATTTGTTTCAGAAGTTCGATCAAATGAAATTTTAATTTTCCTTTTTGATTTCAGAGGAATTCTTTTACAAGATCAAAAACGATACAATGAAGCCATTGAAAGTTACAAAATGGCCATTTTGTGCAGACCTAAGCTCACCAGTAAGTGCTTTTTTTTTTCTTTTTTCTTTTAAAATTTCAAGTTAGAAAATGTTTAATTCTAGGGAAGAATTATTTTCATTTATTCTTTATGATTTAATATTTTTGTTAATGTCAGTGTTTTGAACTTTGTTACAATAGATGGCTTGTTAGTCTTGATATCTAGAAAATCATTGGAGAGTCATATTAGACTTGTTTTTAATGACATTTTGTAGGTAAGGAGAGTTACTTGGCAGTGCCCATCTCCTCTCTAAATAACATAAGGCAGGCTTCAATGGTTACTTTGAAAAATCCTTTACTTGATTGCACTCATCAGCCATTGGCATCCCAGTAAAGAGACCTTTGTAAAGATTTTATTAATAATATTCATATGATTTTGTTCAGTTAGTATTACTACATTGACTATTTCTAAATTTATTTTAATAGTAACCACCATTACTCTTATCTTACTGCAATTTTAATTACATCAGATATTTTTTCTTTCTATTACATGCCTTAATATGATCCATATTATGAAAAAATCCATTTTGAAAAGTGGATTCACTGTGAATGCAGGATTCAAACTAATGAGTTAATCTTATTTTCTTTTATTTGCAACAACCTCTATTGATTTTTATGGAACAGCAACAGGACATTCATTTTAGATTATTTGCATCCAGAATTTTGCCTCCTTTGATTACAAATGAAAAGTAATTGTCTGTGTTTCTTTGTCTCAAAGACAAGCAGTGCTGCTTATAATAAGAATAGCCATGGTCTATAATGATGAGAATCTTAAACAACCTTTATCTAAAAAAAGCAATACCTTTATCCACAAATCATCATTTCCTATATGACTTCATTAATGAAATCTATTGGGTAACATTTGAAGTTAGTGTATTTGATAGAAAAGATACCCTCCATTTACATTTAATATTACAGTATTATGAAATTAGGCCAACTACAAATACTGGTAGCCTGCAGCAATGACATAAATGTTAGCCTTTAAAATATCTCAACTTCACATATAAAATCCTGGAGATATTTTTTGAGTCATTTTTAAGTAGAGAAAAAAGTAAAAGAAGGTATGCAATCAAATACACTATTTTTTCTTGTCTGACAAAAATATCTTCATCAACCCAGTAAATTGAATAAAATCTGACTTCTCATTAAATGTGCTATGTCAATGTTTGCCAGCATTTAAATAGCATTTCACTTCTAACAAGTTGTTAAAATATTTATGTTCATAAGTTTTAAGTCCAAGTGAACAGGAAAATAACTGAATATGGTAAAGTATTGAGAATATATTCGAGAATATGACTTACCCTCAGAGATTTATAATGGTAACATATCAATATAAAATGTAGTCCAATGAAAATAAAACATGTGTTCTGGTCACATTACTTTAAGTATTTTTGATAACAAGTACATACCAGAACATTTGGCTTCACTAATCAACTGATATTCAGCTTCTTATTCTGTCTCTAACAGTAATTCCTGACCTTTTTTTGGCCATGCCCCACCTCAACATCTCTAAAATTTTGATGCACCCACTAAAATATATGCTTCTTATTATTCAAAAAGTAAACTCCTATTCACATGATGGAAACCTAAAAGGCCATTAACTTAACCTTCCTTAAGAACTTAAGACTGCAGATATGCAATAATATTATAGCATTTAATTTTAGAATTTTACAATATTTATAAAGATATTGTTAACATGTAGATCTTTTAAATGAACCTTGTTTCTTATGCTTACATGAGAAAATAGAAATTATCAAATTTATTGATAACGACTCCTTATTAAGCCAAAGAAGTGAGCTAACTTTAAATTGTAGGTATAGTTTACTTTTTACCTTACAATATGGTTAAACTTTGAATTTCATAATACTTTTTCTTACAGTAATAATTGGTAGATGTACTGCAGTGCACCTTATATGGTTTACTATTCTATTGTAAAAATTCATTTAGAATTAATATAGCTCTGTATTGATGTTTAGTTAGTATTATTAACATCTTATATTGATTAGTTTGTATTAACATCTTATATGGATGATCTTTACTTAAAGGTTGCATATTAATTTACCAAAGTAGTTTTGAATTTATAATTTTTTTTTTTTTACCAATTTCTTAAAGAAGCCTTTTAATTATCAACTACAAAATTCTATGTAGGAAGATGACTGAGTATATAGCTCATTAACATTATGCTAAGTTATCCCCTACCCCTTTCTCCTTAATTTCCTGTGAAAGTTGAACATCATACTTTTCTATATTTTATGAAATAATGTAATCATTTGTATCAGTCACAAACAAAATTGTCTAGGATTCTATGTAGACAACTTCATGTCATGACTTGTATAAAAAAACATTTTTCAGTTGGTTTAGATTTTAGTGTATTTTTTATTTGATTGGTTAATCACAGTACACCCTCCAAACTCATTTTAATTTTGTTTTTTTCAATCTTCTCTTCATCTTTCAAAAAAAGAGCAAGTATTCTGCTTTTGAAATTAATTGTTCACTCATCAGCCTGAGGAGACACATTTATAGTGTTGAAACACGATTGCTATTTGTAGTGATATTTAAGATGTTTTTGTTTTAATCTCCAATAATAAATAATATTTAGCTCTACTCTGTTATGAGCCCTCTTTTATTCTTATCTTACCTGGATGGAGATATATAAATATATATATTGTACAGTATATAGGTAATTACAGTTGTACATGCACAAATATTTTTATGTATGCGTACTGTATACACACCGTATGTATTAACTTACATACACACTCCTACTCAAACAGACTCACTAGAAAAAAATCCACTGTTAATAACTCATTCTTGAATTGTCCCCCTTAAAAATCAAATTGTGCTCCATGTTGGGATCAACAGTTCTAACTAGAATTCCAAATAAAGTAAGAACTCGGTAACTAAAAGAAGTTAAACTCATATTCTCTTAGTTTTCTCCCTTAGAACAATGAAAAAATTAGTAGTTTATTACATTAGTATTCTAAATTTCTGATAATGTTGAATGAAAGTGTACTGTCAAACTGACACTTTGACAATATACTTGAACATATGTAATATGTGGGTGTTTTTTTGTTTTTGGGGTTTTTTTTGGTGGGGTGGGGGGGCAGAAATAGGCAATCCACATGTCATAGTCCAAATCTGCATGATGTGGGGGTAAAAAACAAATTTTAGCTTCACACATGAAAATTAGTCACAAAACTATTTTAAAAAAAAACAAACTTTTACAATATTAAATAATTGACTTGAAATTTTTGACTAAGAATAGAAAATATATTTGTTGAAACTTGCTGCGCTTCATTTTAAAGTGGTAATGATAAATATCTGTCTTCATACATTCACAATCACTAATCTACAATTTATAGGGTGTCTTAGAGATTTTAGTGTTTAATTTCATAAGATATGAAAAATCTACTTTCTCTTGTGTTTTTTGTTGCATTCTCTTAGATATGAAGTATTTAATGATTACCAGGCCAAAAATCAAGAGGATCTATACACAGGAATCTATATTAAGTTAAACCTTTGTTCACATTAAACCATAAAAATAACTTTCTAGGGAATTATATTTTTCTTTTTAAATTTGCTTTAATTCTTTGTAACAAAGATAATGTAATGATTGTATAGAACATGGAATTGGCAAACCGAGTTCAAACTTTGGCTTAGTCTATCGTGTTTGCTTTCACATAAATGCCCTTGGGAAAGGCATAAAACCATCTCTTCTACCCACAACTATGGATTAAATAGCAAGGCAGACTAGTCTCTCTGTTCTTGAGTGACAGTCTAGGAGAAGGACTATTTTGAATTCCAAAATGTGGAGAAGGCAACATCTTTTCCAAGAAGTCATAGCAGTTTTTAAATAAGAAAAGGGATCAGTGGAGAGCTGTGATCGCCTACATTCTGATAGATATGACATTTGAAGAAATGCAAAATTTGCCTTTCATTGTTGTTTTTTTTTTTTTTTTTTTCCTCCTTAACAATTTACTTTTCACTTTCCAATTTTTAAAAATACTTTCATTATACCTAATGAAATTTTACTTAAAGTGAATTCAAACAGAATAAAAAGACTATTTTTAATTTAAAAATGTTCTTGAATGTCAGCATCAGGAGGAGAAATGTCAAGTGATTGCTTTCATAAAAGAATGAAGAAAAATAAATGCTTATCATTTCATTTAAATATTTTTAACCATTCCATTTAAAATCTTAAGACAAAAAGACTGGATTATTGTACTTTTTATTGTATTGAACATAGTGTTATACACTTGTGGTGTTTTGGAAATGCATGGAGTGCAAAAAAATCTACTTGGACATTAGCCAGCTAAAAAGCATTAAGAAATTCTCTTTTGTGTTTCTTGTAATTTTCAATGTCACTTGATTGGTTAACAGATATTTTAAAGAGGAGCCAGAATCTGTTAATATGTATAAATGCTAGCCACCTTTTAGTGGTGCAAAGGATTATAGTGATAAGAAAACAAAAGACCACAGATGAGTTTTCCACCTAAAACAAGTCTTGAACGCCTTTTACAAAAAGTAAGGAAAAAAAAAATGTATGTGTGAGTGTTTGGCATTAACTACATATCTATGTAAGAAATCAGAATTGCACCAAAGGGGAAAAGTTATGGGTCAGCCTGACACAAAGCACAATATATTGCCAATTTTTGTTTGTAACTAGATGTATAATACATCATGTTTAAACAAGACTTTGTGTTGAATTTACCTTTGGATTATAGTAAGTATATAACTCCAGAGCTTTAATATCATTACCACTAACTTAGGATACCTCAGCAACACCTCATAATATCAAGCTTTTCTTGTTCATTATTATTTTATGGAAATGCCCAAGCCTTGACAATGCAATATTTTTCTAATCTTGGAGACTCTATTTTATATTTACTCCTTTCTGGTACATACTAAATTTAACCATGTATACTAAGTAATAAAGTTTTGATATACCACTTTGAGAAGAAATATATTTATTCTTCAATTAAATATCCTGTATTTATCTCAGA